TGGGGTGTGCAGTGGCAGGAATTATATTCAGTTTGGCCTAGAGATGAAGGACGGCCAATGCCAATTAATCTTGTGGAGCACACTATTATTCTGACATTGGTTGAGAGTTAAGAGCAGTCAATTCTTTCAAAAAATTGGCAACATCTAGCAGTAAGGTATTCACAGTTAATAGATTACATGCATCTAGGCATAGCATTGCAAGCAAATATATAATTTATATACGAAATCCATAAAGAGAGTGTTAAAGATTAAACCTGACAACTTTTTTTGGCTTAAGTGGTCACATCTAGCCTGAAGCAAGCCACAAGTTGGCCATTCTTGGCTTATCCTTCCAGGTGTGTGCTGCATGCAAATGCAACAAAAGATTTATCTTTGGTGATATAGATTACAGCTGTGTAATATTCATAGCAGTTATGATTGCTGTAAGACTAGAGACTTGGAGTCTTTACACAGCCACCCCAGCTATGTAAAAAAGAGCCTTCTAGCACAGCAGTCAGGCAGTACAGTGGTGCCTCGACCATAAATCCATTCCAGAAGATGAACGTAACTCGAAATGGTTGCGAGTCGAAGCATGCGTCCCCATAGGAATGCATGGGAATGCGATTAATCCATTCCCCCCTCCAAAAAAAATAATAATAATCACCAAAAAATAAAATAAAAATAGAACACTGCAATTCCCCCCCCCAAAAAAAAATAATCACCAAAAAATAAAATAAAAATAGAACACTGCAAGCCCCATAGGAAACGCTGGGATTGGGGGGGGGGGACCAAAAATAAACAAAGCAAGCCCCACACTGGGACTGCAAAAAATATAAATAAATAAAAATAAATCACCAAAAAACAAACAACACAGCACAGAAACATTACCCCCCCAGTCCAAAACCACCCTCCAAAACCCACCCAGAACAGTTTTTAAAAAGCAGAAAGCAGTACCTTACTTTACTAGGCAGTCCCAAGCCTCCTCTGAAGGCACTCTAACTGAGCTGCCCCAGCTATGCCAGTGCCGGAGCAGGAGGCAGCATTGGATAGCACTGGCGGGCAAGCCACCTGCTGTTCAGGGACGCAGCGGCGGTGGCGGCATCAGCCCCACAGAGGGTGGCGAGGAGCGCCGAGGCCTGACACAGCCGCCCTGGCAAGCAGCTCCCGGAGCTGGCTGGGGGTGCCTGACACCTCCAGCACCGGCAACGGCTCCAGCGACTGTTCGCCAGGGCAGTCGCATTGGGCCTCGGTGCTCCTCACCGCCCTCCACCAGGCCGCTGCAACCACTGGCTGCAGGGTTCCTGAACAGCGGGTGGCTCGCCCACTCGTGGTGCCTAACACCACCTCCCGCTCCAGCACCAGTGCTCCACACCAGGAAGGAGGCAGCAAGGCGGGTGCACCGCCTCCCGCTCCAGCACCAGCGCTCCACACCAGGAAGGAGGCAGCAAGGCGGGATGATCCTTCCTCCAGGAGCCAGGATTGGGGTCCCCTCCACCCCCACACCAAGGCTGAGGACCAGGACCCAGCAGCAGTGGTGGCATCGGTCCTGTGGAGGCTGGCAAGGAGCGCCAAGGGACGCCCCCACCGCCACCTCCCGCACCGCCTCCCGCTCCAGCACCAGCGCTCCACACCAGGAAGGAGGCAGCAAGGCGGGATGATCCTTCCTCCAGGAGCCAGGATTGGGGTCCCCTCCACCCCCACACCAAGGCTGAGGACCAGGACCCAGCAGCAGTGGTGGCATCGGTCCTGTGGAGGCTGGCAAGGAGCGCCAAGGGACGCCCCCACCGCCACCTCCCACCACCATTGCATCCCTTTCCCTAACTGTTGAGGTGAAAGAGCTACAAAGAAGCAGCCTCTTCGCCACCAACAGTTATTTGAATTTCCCACCCCTTTTCCCTGCCTTTTTTGGTCGTAACCTGAAGCTCCGGCCGCAAGTCGAAGCAAAAGTTTGCAGTCAGAGCTGGTCGTAGGTCAAGATGGTCGTAAGTAGGGACATTCATAAGTCGAGGCACCACTGTACTGTAGTCAAGGCTCTGTTCATGACCTGAGTACGATCCCAATGGGTTTAGGTTGCTGGCTTGAGGTTGACCCAGTCTTCCATCCTTCCAAGGACAGCCAAGTGAGTACACAGCTCATTGAAGGAGGGCAATGTGTACCCTGCATAATTACATTGTAAACTGCCCAGAGAGTACTTTAGCACTTATGTACTAATATAAGCAGCACATTTCACTTTGCTTTGTTTTGCTGAGCACATAATTCAAAGTCAGGAACAAGGGGCATGAATTTTGGTCTACAGTATCACTTTTATGATCCTTCTAAGAAGAAACAAGATTGGTGTTCGACACCTTTTGGGGGGAAATGCACTTCATAACCACATTAATATGGAAACTTTTTAATAATTAACTGTAATGTGCATTCCACCTTTCCACATCAATATAATGTTTTAGGTAGTAAACAACAATAAAATATGATTATAGCAGAAACCTAAAAACAAGACACAAACTGAAACATACATAAGAGACACAAATCCCAGCTAACACAAGCTGAATCTTTATCCTTTTATATGTCTTTCAAGCAGAGTTTACTTTACCCATTGCTCACAGTGTTGCATTACTCATTAATATTATTCATTGGCTCAAATTCTGTTGCTGTGACTTAAACCACACAAGGCTGATGATGCCAGCAGCAGCAACAGTTTTGGAAATTAAACATTCTTAATGTTTCTCCTGAAGCTTCTGAAAGTTCTGGGTAATTCTTCTTATCAATGTGAACCTGTAGAAGCTACAGGACAGCAGCAGAAAATCTAACTATTGAAAATTGCTGCCACCAAATTTTTTTAAAAGGTTGAATCACGGTCTCCATTATACATGATCATAGAATCATAGAATAATTAAGCTGGAAGGGGCCCATAAGGCTATCAAGTGCAAACCCCTGCTGAATGCAAGGATCCAAAGCAGATCTGACAGGTAGTTGTCCAATTTTCCCTTGAATGCCTCCAGCACTGGAATGCTCACTCCGCTCTCGAGGTAATTGGTTCCATTGTCATACTGCTCTAACTCTTAAGAAGTTAAGATAGAATCATACATTACTGAAAAGAGGTGTTTCAACCTATCATTATTGATGGTAGACCACTTTTACAAGCCAACAAGGGCAAGAGCAAAAGCACACTCTTCTGTAAGGATACAAAAACAGAAAAGTGTCCCATGTAGCTGGATGACCAGAAGCCAAACATACATCAGCTAGACCAGAATTGCCTCTATCAATTAGCTTGATTGTAAGTGATTTTATCTACAGTATGTCATACAAATCGGCCACAACAGGCTACTAAGTGATCTATGTTCCTGTCTCTTGAGCCAGAATGTAATATGCTTTTAACCATTTTAAATGGATTTTAGTATATATTTTTGTTGGACTCATGCCGGGTTGTCATTCCACCTCATTCTGCCGTCCTCAGTTTTCTCAAAGACCTTAGTTAGCTCCACTCCAAAAAAGAGGGAAATAAGGAATGACTGATTATGTCAATAACCTGACTATTCTCCATTCCATATGACAACCAGGGCTTTAATAATATTTCCTAAAAAGCTAATAGGAAAATCCTCAAGAACCTCCAGGAAACTTTACACATTTATCAGTCGTCTTCAGGCAAACCACTTTGTTGGCCTGCAGTTTACAGAGGAACTCTTTAAGTTCTAGGAAGTCCAAATGCCAACATTTAATGATCTTTCAACAACAAAACTATGCATAGTTCCACCACACCCAGATTACCATTATTCCATCCAACACAAAAAATCTGAATCAGATCCCCTGGTGAACGAGCGGGGTCAAACAGCATTGGGATTAGACCTGTGATTGCCATATAGGCCTTGAAGTCCTGAGCCTCATTCAAAATAGCATCTCCAGCATTTTGGGGAAGTCCCCAATACCACAAACCAAGAAGACTCTAGCAGACCCTTGAGACCACCCCAGCCAGTTCAGGAAGGGAGACTCATGGGCAGTGGAGAGTGCAGTATGCTAGCAGAATCATGAGCACCCACCTTCAGAAACACGTATGCAAAACTGTAGAATGGGAGGCACAGAATCAGAACAGACAACAGCAATTCTCCATTCCACCTCCCTCCATATGTTGCCAATTGGCTCACATAAAATCAAAGTAGGCCAAATTGAGAGGAAATGGTCCAAGGTGCATATTTCATAGCAGGGACTGGATTGATATCTGGGGTATGTTTGATTATTTCTCATAGATTGAGAATGCAATATATTCACTCCTGATATTAACAGAGCCAGTAAGGTAATCAGATGCAAATGTGTTCAAGAGAGTTTTCAACAAAAGTCTGAAAGGATATTTGGGTAGGTGCAGCTTATTAGTAAGGAAAAGTACACCTACACAAGTCTTATTTCTTGTACTACAAGAGCTCTGTCATACTCAGCAGATGGTCATCCTTGATTAAAGACTAAATGATTAAATAACTCTATCATCATCTATGCTGGCATATACTTCTCCCTTCAACAATGCTGGGGTTGGGGCACTGTATCAGTATAGTATATAACTCTTATGCCCCTAAAAACATAAATTACAAAGCATACACACACACACACACACACACACACACACACACAGAGGCAGCAAAAGGACAGAAAGAGTCTCTATCAGAGCAAGAAAACAGAAGATCAATTTCTCCTCTCCTCCCCACAGACAATTGGAGCATCACACTGCTGTGACCTCCCCCAACCTGCATCAGCCTCCCAGCATGCCCCAGGACCCTTGCCAGCCACTGTGTGGAACTGTTATGCTAAGAGGGGGGGCCACCTGGGCTGCCACCATCAAACCAGGGACTACTGCACCACCAACCAGACGAGCCTCTCAGGTCACTTCCTGGAGACAACTAGCAGCATGGTATTTATTGAATATTTCTTTCTTTCTTTCTTTAAATATCTATTTACTTAGTAGCTGTTATGCTTCCCTCATTCTCACTGACATAGTGTATGCAAATATTTCAAAAAGGAAGAAGTAATATACCTACCTGACACAAAGGCCACTTTTTCCTTTAATATGGGAAGGACATCAGCAGCTTTTAAGCCATCATTTCGGAAAGATCCTACAAAAAGGAGAAAATCGTATTTTATTAGAAGAGCATCTGCCTTTTGAACCTAGTTGTATCATACTCTAGACTCTCCCAAATGAGCAGAGAATTATTTCCTGCACTTTGCAGACTATGAGATGGATAAGACATAAAATATATTTTGCTTCATTACTAATTTTCTTCAAAAGAAAAGAAATATAGAAGTTAATATTATCTCTCTCATACATCCATAAAGATTTCTACATGCTCAGATCATTAAGTGAGGTCTCCTTTTATTTCTTTTGTGGAGCTACTTATGTTTGACAATAATTAGGAGAGGAGGCATCTTGGGATAGGTTTTATTTCTATGAGCAAAACCAACATACAACTGGAGAGAATGCCAGATGTTAAGAATCATGCTAAGTGGCAGAGTTTGAAAACTAAAATTCAACATCCAGGGCACCTGAGCATCAGACCTTGAAGTTCAAGACGCAAAACCTAGGAACTAAAATTATGCTTGGCAAAAGAGGGCTGATGTTCTATGGCAGTGGTTCCCACCCTTCTGCAAGTTGTAACCCACTTTTATAATGGCCATGTAATCTGTGACTCCCCATCCATGTTTGCATAAAAAGGCATTTTTAATTAGGTAAAGTCATCCCTTCTCCTAAAACAGAGATTTCTTTCTCCCCCAAAGGACCTGTTTCTCATACATACACATAAACGCTAATTTTAACATCCCACTCTGAAAAGTCAAAGAAGATATTATTTAACAAGGGTTACAACACATATAAAGCAATCCATAACTCCAGAAAAGATGTTATGACCCCCACTTGGGGGTCACGACCCCAAGGTAGGGAAACACCACTCTATGGGGAGCAAAGGATAGTTCTTGACCTGGCCTAAAGGAAACACTTGACTGCACCTGGTTCCCCAGGGCTCAGATAATGTGGTAAAAATCTTTAGACAAGCAGAACACAACTTGATCCTGTTCTGGACCTTCACCCTGTAAGTTTAATCGTGTTCCTGGAGAAGATAACAAAGTATAACTTCCAGTGAAATCCTAATAAACAGCAATCCTACAGGAGATATACTTGAGGGAAAATGAGCAGTGCCCTGAAAACTTAATTTCAGAAAGTGAATCTGTGTAAAGGAACATAGAGAAATAAACGAACAGTGTAATTTATGGTTTCTAGAACGGAGTTCCAGGGTAAGGTACTTCCGCTTCAATGTACTTTGATGTCAACACACCTGGGGTGTTTGACATTAAAACTCAAGTCTATGTTTTCTTCAATAGGCTATTGCTACCCTTGAAGCCACACCTTTTTTAAGCAGCTTTGCACAGCAGCAAGGAAGGGCTCCCAATGAGCAGAACTGAGCAAGCTGTACAGCAGGGGTGTCCAACCTTTCACCTTCCCTGGGCCACATTAGAAGATGAAAATTTGGTTTGGGCCGCATGGGGGGGGCAGCCCTAGCCATCCTCCAAGTTCGCTTACCGGCAGCTGCGATCTCAGACAGCAGAGGCTGCCAGCTTTGACTCTGGCGGCTTCATGGGACAGGGAGGGGGTCCACCTATCGACGGTTACGGTGCAATGCAGTCACGCAGCCCCCCTGTCCCCTCCCCTCCCACTCCTTCCTTCCCTCTCTCCCCCTCTACTGTTGTGACATGCCCCAGCCACATTCCGGCCACAAGCGCCGGCAGTGTAACTTGAAACTTTGGAATTTCTTTAAAAATAAAAAATTGCACTGGGCCGCATTATGAGCTGACCTGGGCCGCGGGTTGGACAAGCCTGCTGTACAGTATCCTCTTATCACCAGTTTGCAGAGAAAGCAACTGGTTTTTCCTCTCTTTCAGTAACCATACCTCTGAATAACATTCCCAAAAGGCTACACATTTTATAATACTTCCACCCAGATTCAGAATGTGGTCTGATGAAATAACACTGTAACACAAGTAGATAGTTGGTTGCATAGCAGGAATTTCAACAATGACTTTTGATTTCTTACAGCTCAAATAGGAGTTTCTGTACCCTTTGCAAAAAGAAAATGATGTGGTGGTTTGCTTATTTGGTTCTCTTCATTCACTCTCATATAGGAAGTGGTCTAATAAATTATCACTTTGTCTTTTGTAGAAAGGCCAATGAAATACAGATTTCCTGTCAGTCTAAAACCAGGAACCTGTCTGCACTGTGCCAAGGTGAATGAGTCATTCTTTGGCAGACCTAAGGCTGTTCAGCTGTTGCTTAGAAGTTTTAAGGAGAACACGTTTTTTTGGTTGCTATGGTGTTTTCTGAGGAGTGAATGTAATAATGCTCCCCCCACGTGACAAAAATCATACACTTATACATCCGCCTACATAGTCAAAACAGCAAAGCTTATGGCAGAGAAAGAAATACAACTTGTGAGCTGAAGAGCCAAGACAGGCAGGGAAAAAGTCAGAGCACTGAATTAGAAACTGTTTTTCTCCACTGACCTGAAATTAACTTTTCTTTCTCATAACAGTTACACAGTAGTACACTTTCTTTCTGTGTTGTCTGTTTCTAAAGAGGTGTGGCTAATAAAATGGGTTTTTGGGGGTGGGTGGTTCTGTAAAAACAGAAAATCTGAACATGACGAAGAAAAGAAAATGAGTGCTTTCTTCAAATGTCATATATTAATCTGCAAACAAATGATTTTGTTTTCTACAGGATTATGATTAGTTCTATCTGTACACATGCTTTTCTTAATATGTGCATGAAAATTTCACCTTCTGGGGTTATAAGTTTCAGAAGTGTACAGGATTTTTGTTTTGTTTTTTTAAGGCACCACCAACAATGCAGAATTTAAAAGCAAGGATGCACAATGCTTTTATTCGTAATAATAGTTGTGCATAGAGGGGAGTATTTTTATACAAATACCCACACACAGAGACAGGTAGAGATAACAAGGGTCCGCCCCCCATGGTGCTGGATGGTCCACTCGGTGATGCGCCACTACTGCAGGCTCCACGACCCTCTCCTATCACTCCAGAGCTTGTGATCAGCGAGCCACTCTTCAATCTGGCAGAGAGGCTTGTCGTCCTGCCTCCTGCAAGGAGTGGCTAATCCATTGTTATCTCCACCTGTGCCTTCAGATCAATTCTGACTTATGGTGGCCCTTTACAGAGTTTTCTAGCCAAAGTACTCAAAGGGAGTTTGTCATTCCTTTTTTCAGAGGCACCCTGGAACTATGTAACTTGCCCAAGGCTACACAGGATGGCTCCTCTGCAAGGCACAATGGAGAACTGAACTTAAAATCTCATAAGCAAGGGCTACTTTCACACCTTTCAAGATTATTCATCTGTTCGGGCATTATAGAGCTGGGGCCAAGAAATGGGGGAGAGGGAGCGAGTGGCGGGAGAGAAAGAAGAAAACTCCCTCAAACCAAGACCAGATTTAGCAGCCAGGCTCTTCTGTTTTAAACAAGTTCCAGAATGGAAGCTGCAGTAGTGTATACTCAGTTTGGGCTGGCAGTTTCAGTTTTTACCCAAAGTAATGTAGATATACTATATTTTTCCATGTATAAAATGACACTTCTTACTTAAATAATTAGACAAAAAAATGACGGTCGTTTTATACATGGAAGGCAGCTGCTTTCCCTGCCTTTTGTGAAGCCACAGGGTAAAGCAGCTGTGAAAATGCAGCACCCTCGCACCCCTTTGATCCTGAATCAGTCATGAAAGGGCTTCAAGACCAAAGGGGTGCGATTGTGCAAATTTTTGAATTTTCTAATTTGGGGGGTCATCTTATACATTGGGTCTTCTTATAAACAGAAATATATGGTAAATGTCCTTCCCAATGTTGATAGACAAACAACTCTCATTGACTCAGTCCACTCCACACCCACACGGACATCCACACCCAAACCCACACACGGCCTTAGCACATAGCTCTCTTTTTTTTACCTGGAACAGAGGCACACAGAAACATGCAAAACTTTGTATCTGACAAGTTTGGGACAAAATTTAGTTTACACAATAGGTGAGACACAGTCAATTGCAGCCAAACTAAAAGTATCACCCAGTGCTTGGAATGGCCCTCACTTTGCTGCAGTCTGTTTTGGATGATGGTAAATATCCTTGCTTGGTTGTAGATGCTGTCCTAGGCAGTGATGGCCATGATTTCCAGGTCTTTCTTTTTTTCATCTCTCAGCTCTGTAATGCCTAGCTTGACAATCAGTCTCACAGGACTGGACAACTAGTACCTATCTGTGATATTTTAATGTTTTAATAAATCCATTCCCCAACTTCTTTTCAGATTGTGTACAAGGACCATGTGGCTTTTATGTTTCTTTTTTAAAATACAAAATTTAAATGCGTACAGATTCTGCCAAGAGATTCCTGCAGAGATAAAATGGACCCAGTCCCATACTGAAAATGGGAAAATTATGTGTCTTTCCTGATGATAGCTCCTTTCCCTCAGGGAACAATAGGGGGGAGCCCAAGGTTTTCTTTCAGCCCCCTCAGCAAGTTTGAAAAGGTCTCTATATCTAAAACAGAATTCACATATCTAGGGCAGTCCCCTTTCAAAACTATCATTCATGTGCTGCAGACACTTAAAACATATAGATTATTCTCAACTATTACAAAATATAACTGAATAGTTCAAGGAAACAGATCGTATAGCTCCAGGTGTCTTTTACAATTGAAAGCTTAGTGCTCAAATTACAGAAAAATAGAATACAGGCCCTTAGTATAATCTATAAGTCACTGCTCTGGCTCTGCCCTATTGTAGCCAAATTATTCCCTCAAATGAGCTTTCAAAAACAGCAGTAGAGATGGCTCATAAAAGTGAGATGCTCACTCTACCCCCTCTGAGGATCAAAATGAGTATCATCCAGGCTATAATGCTTTGTCACTTAGGACTTGTCCACATGGGTGAAAGTACTGCAGCTGATGAGCACTGGCAGGCATTATTTGTCTTGAGGGAGAAACAGGGCTTATGGTTGTTCTGGGTTTTTCGGGCTCTTTGGCCGTGTTCTGAAGGTTGTTCTTCCTGACGTTTCACCAGTCTCTGTGGTCG